CCAGCAAGGGCTAGCAAGGACAGTATACCCCATGGGTCCTCAAACTACAGCCCGTGGGCCACATACAGCCCACCATGCTCATTGATCCAGCCCGCCTCAGAGCTTTTGGACTCGCTCAGAGAAAACGATCTCTGAGCAAGTCCGAAAGCTCTGAGCTGGCGCAGGCATTCTCAGAAACTGAGCAGAGCCAGTGCACACATCAAATTGTAACAGCTCAACTGCACGTGCGCCAGCTCTCCTCCCCCCCACCCCATTCCATTGCACACATATACAGAGTAGGAATAAGGAGCAGGAAACAGAAGAGAGGAGGGCAGGAGAGAGAGAGAGATGAAGACACTAAAAAAGGATTGAAGTTAAGAAAAATATAACTCTTTAAATCCATTTTTAAGTACGTGAGCCATGTCCCTGGGTGCGGGAGCTGCAACCTTCTTTGGGCAAGCTGCCGCCGCCATTGAGCAGCTGTTCCCAGGCTCAGCAAGGTGGCTGGGGCTTGCCCAGAAAAGGCCGCAGTGGAGGTGCAGCAACTGCGGCCTTCTATGAGCAAACTGAAGCTGTCAAGCGGCCACCATGCTTCTTCCCCCTGTGGCAGGGAGAGGAGGGAGGAGCCCACTCGGCCAGCTGCGGCCCCATCCCTCGCCTCAGCAAGAAGCCCTTACCGCCCTCCTGGCAGCCCTCTCCCGGCCGGGGGAGCCACCCCACGCTCGCCTCTGTGGCCTCCTGCTCCTGCTCCCTCGGAACCGGGGCGGCGGCAAGGACTATAGTTTCCATCATGCCCAACCAGCATGGCCAACGGAAGCTGTAGTCCAACTCATCTGGACAGTACGTTTCGGCAAGGTTGCACTTAAATATGGTAGTCATTAGCTCTGCAGCCATTGTGTATTGTGGGAATTGTTCTGGGCTGACTTGCTTCAAATACTAAGCGTGGCATTAACAGTATTCATCCTTAGTATTTTTGCTTCAGTCTTCCTAAATGCCAGTTGCAGTCATCAGCTGCATGATGCAAAATACTACATTTAGTGCCTTGATTGTGTTGTAGCTCTGTCCCTTGAATATAGACATGCTCTTCCCCACCTCATCTTGGGCTTCTGCTGCAGCCCGAGGGAGCAGAGCAAACATTTTCAATGTTTAATTAATTTTTAACATTTTAATTAATTTTTCAATTTATTTTAATTTTAAATATGTTTTTATGTGCAGTGTGCATAGGAATCCATTCATATTTTTTTCAAACTATAGTCCAGCCCCCCCAACAGTCTGAGGGACAGAGAGCTGGCCCCCTGTTTAAAAAGTCTGAGGACCCCTGGAATACCCCCTCCAAGGGGTTTCCTCCATCAAACTTTGTGCAACAGCTGCATGCACTCCTGTGGTCAAGGCAGGCAGCTCTTCTCCGGGGCGGGAAGCAGCAGGGAGGCCCAGGGGAGTTAAACACACACACTCTTCCTGACCCTGCTTCACAAGGGCACACACACCCCTCCCACAAAACCAGGTCCAGTCACACGTGGACGCATTTAACTTCCTGGAGGGACAAAGGGGATACTGCTGAGATGCACAGGACGGACGCACCTCAGGCAGGCGGCAGACCTCCATCGCAAGAGAGCCGCGTGTCTTCCACAGGCCTCTATCAGGGACAGAAGCGGTGCCCACCTTACCTGGAGGCACACCACCACCACCTGGAGAAGTCCCACCTGTACGTCACTGAGTCCTTCCTCAAAAGGGGGGGGGCACACTTTATGGTGCAAAGTTCTCTAATGTTGGGAAGCCATGGCCTTCCCTCCGAGGGGGGTGTCTTGTGATGGAGGTTACACTTTGAAGGATTTAGATAAATCGAAACCAGTTCAGGGAAGGGAACGTGATCAGAGGCTGGCCAGTTAAGTCTTGTGAGGAAAGGGTTATGGGAATTGGGCAGGTTTAGCCTTGAGAAAAGAAGCTGTCACAGCAAGGACTAAGCAGCTGCCTGTTAGGGATGCCTGAAACTGGGTTTCGTATCCCCTTCCAACTCCAAGATTCTATGAAAGCCACAGACTGGAGCCTGGGCTGGAAAAATGCACCTTCCTTCGCTAGGCCCGGGCCATCCCTTCAGGCAGCTCTCATCAGTGACCTCACGCCCAACACCAGGAGCACCCCAGATGAGCTTCACCGGTGCAGATTCCAATCTGGTTTGTCTGCATAGAAATGTTCTAATAATAGTAATAGTAATAGTAATAATAATAATGATAAAGCAGGACGCTTGTTCTGAGGACAGAAGAGGTGCACGCACAGGATAGGGCAGCAGAGGGCAGCAGAGAGAAACCATCCAAGGGGGCTGCCGTGGGAGGGGAGACAGGCTGAGGGGCAGCTCAGGACTCAGGAGAGAGTCAGGCCCAGTGGAGAGAGCTAAAGGAGCTGGTTCTGCTAGGAGGGAGGCTTCTGGGGTACTGACAGGAGCGCGGCATCCTTGGTCCAGGTGGAAGGGTTGGGGGTCCCTCTTCACACATCAGCCCATCAGTGCTTATGCTGCACAGCTTGACGGAGCACACCTGCAGTTTCCCTCACCGCACAGGGCCTCACTCCTCCACCAAAGCACTTAGACATGCGCAGGCATTTCTTGAAGACCGCTGCGGAGTTATCTCCAGCATACTTATTGCATCATCACCTATTCACTCAAAGACACTGTCAGATTCAAAATGCCAACTGACCGGCCACTTCTGACTGCAGCAACTTGAATTCTGTACCTTTTACCGTATTTTTCGCTCTATAAGATGCACCTGACCATAAGACGCACCTAGTTTTTAGAAGAGGAAAACAAGAAAAAAAATATTCTGAATCAAATGGTTTACTAAACTATTTAATAAACTATAACAGAACACAATAATACCGTATTTCAACCTTGTAAAGTGAACAGCAGTCAACAGTGGCATTAAGAACCATCATCACTGTCATTAACAAAAGAGAGACTTAAAAGTTCGAGTACTCTTCTAGTTTTCGTTGAACCCATAGAACTCATCATCACTGGAGTCAGAATTTATGAAGCTCTGTTGCTCACAATCACTGACATCACTTTCTTAGTCAGTAGTGGAATTATTGAAGAAATCCACAATCTACACCATTTATACAAGAGCTGCTGCAGACAATTCAATAACAAATCTAAAAAAGCCAGTAATGTCCACGCTGCCCTACTTTCTAAATAATAGAAAAAAAATTCTGACAAAAAATGAAATATTGTACGGTAAATCAAACACACAGCGGACTAAGTAGCCTTTGAAGAATAAACTTCATACACGAAGGTAATGCTGTTCAAATATCCACTGATCCTAAAAAAAATGTGTCTGATCAACTAACAGATAACTGATCCATGGAAAGCTTCCTGATAATCACAGGCACATTCCCCATCACTTCCCCATGGGCTTCATTAAAAGACGGGTTGCCATTTGAAAACACACACCGACCTGTGATTAACAGCTCTCACCTGCGCCAGAGGAGGGGGGCAGAGCAGGGCACACCGAGCACATGCCAGCCAGGTGGTGCCACATGGGGCCGGAAGCGTGCCAGCAGTGGACTTCCGGGCGACGTGGCGGCAGTGGCAGGTCTTCCTGGGCGGTAGGGGTGAGCAGTCCGTCTCTCCGTGCTCTCTGTGCGGCCGGCGGGTTAAAGGCCGCGGCTCCTCCTCCTCCGCACGCCTCCCCAAGCAGCACAGCTCTCACCTGTGCCGGGGGGGGGGGCGGAGCAGGGGGTGCCGAGCGTGTGCTGGATAGGTGGTGCCATGCGGTGCAGGCGGCTGGCAGCGTCCCGGGCGTCGGGCACAAACACATTCGCTCTATAAGACGCACAGACATTTCTCCTTAATTTTGAGGGGGGAAAAAGTGTATCTTATAGAGTGAAAAATACGGTATTTTGCAGGCAATGCAAAGGATCCAGGGCCTGGAATAACTCCCCTAAGAGGAATGGTTACAATGACTGTATGTGCTTACTTTGAAAAAAAGACACGTCAGGGGAGACAAGTTGCAGGTGCACAAGCTGTGCATGGGGCAAAGAAAGTGTGAAAGGCATTTCCCCCCAAACTAGAAGCCAAGGGGGTCATCCCATGAAATGGGCAAGTGGCGGGTTCAGGATAGAGCATAGGAACTCCTTCATCGCAAAGCACGCAGCTAAACTTTGGAATTCACTTCCACGGGAAGCAGGGAAGGCCACCCCTCTGGATGGGGGTAAATGAGGTGCTGGGCAAATTCACAGGAAAACAGTCCTTGGAGCTGCTGGTCCCAATGGCTGCACACTGTTCCCAGTGCTAAGGGACAGTATGCCTAGCTACACCCGCTGTTGGCGTACATGGACAGGAGGTGCTGCTGCAGTCGTGTCCTGCTTGTGAGTGTATTACTGGTACTACTTCGTCCTGTACACTCGGTCTCCCAGGAATGATGTCAACCCTGGAGGAGATGCTGACCTGGCCAGAGCCTGTCAAGGAAGGCTCAGATTCTCCACCTTAAGAGTCTGGAATCGCAGAAAGAAGCAGGATCCACACGCCAGATATGAGCCACCCGCTGCTATTCAGGCAAGAACACAAGCAAGGAAAGATGACCGTGCCCCAAGGAGCATTTTAACACCTGCTTATAGAACACCACCTACTTTGGGCCTTGAAAAACTGATCTTCCTCTTCCTTCCACTCCGTTTCCCTTGGGAATCTTGGCATTTTTGTTCGTAAGCCTAACAAGCAGGGCCTTTCTCCTTCTTTGATGTGAGCTGCCACTTTAGGAGACAAAAACTGCCTCAAATGTGGAATATAAAGAAAGAAAATGAGCAAATATTTATTTGAAAGTGTCCTCTTTGGCTGGCTCTCAAATTCTAGAGTTGCATTTGGCAACAGAAGCCGGATACATCCGTAGCGGTCCATACGCTCCCGAGAGAGGGCGTACATACCCATCCCTGGCTGACCTTACTTCACAGCATTTCAAAGTAGTCATTAGTGTCTTTCTAAAACCTGGCTTAGATCCCTTTAAACAATTCATCATTTTACAAACTGAAGCATACAATGACAAGATCACCGGGAACTTTTTAATGTTTCACATGTGTGCACGATTTGGTTGTTACAGGCAAAAAGTCTTCCAGTCACGTCCACCAACAGGAAATTAGATCAGTGAGTGAGCAGTGGAACAAGAAGGGGTAGCACCATTGCCAAACAAGAAACCCCATGTTGTAAAAAACATCCCTGATCATAAAATTAAAGCTGCTTCTGAGCACAACCAAGCCACTGACAGACAGAATCTCGGCTTCTGGTTTGAGTTTTTATACATAGGGACGGGAGTATCTCACTTTCCAGCGTTTGGACCTCATCCGGAAGAAAAAGTACATGATCATTAAAAATAAAGACGAGGCTATGTAAAGAACAATGCACAGGCTCATGTCCACGTTAGAGAAGCCGACCCCCAAGAAGGACACTGCTTGCTTCATGTCCTCCTGCACCACAGACTCGGCCCCCTTCTTCCCTCGATCTTTGACGGGGCTGTCCTGGCCCATCCATCTGTCCACGACTCTCGGCCCTGCGACCAACAATGTCTGAGGATCCTGAAGTTTCTCCTCATTCCTCTGGCCTTCTTTCCTGAGCTGGCTTTTCTCCTGCTCTTCTTGGAGCACCCCTTCGCCAGGATGAGCTTGGCCTTCTGTGTATGTATACACAATGTTGTCGCTGCTGTAGTGATGCTTCAGAAACTGTAGCACCTGGTCCTTGTTCCAAGCATGTGCTCCTTTAATTTCTTCATGGCACGCCGGACAAATATCTGGAGTCGGCCACTGGACTTTAGGGAATTTTGGATCTTCACTCAAATCACCTATGGAAGGTAGGAGAAAATGGACCAAGAAAGTTTAGGAGGCTGTATGAATATAGCTATCATGAACCCAAGAAATACAAACTTGCTCTACACAGTACTTGCTATTTACCTTTTAATGTATCCAGGAACTACTTACTAATGAGGGGAAGACAAGAAACCATGATCTTTGCTACCAGAAATTCCCAAACTAGGAAGAACCCGGGGATTTCTAGGATCCAGAATGCCAAAGAAACGTAAAAATGAATCAGAGGACCTTCTTTGCGCTCTTCCCTTATATCCCTTTGCACATTAACAAGTATTTCTGGTGCGTTAGTGTTTGCTGGTTTATTAATTTTTATTGCGAATATTGACAAAACTAAACAAAAACAAGAAGGCGCCTGCCAGTACCTGCCACGCGGGCGTTCACCACATTGTGCTTCTCCCACAGCCAGAGCACGGCCTCGTCCAAGGTCTTCAGTGAACTCAGAGACTCCCTGGCCATCTCCGCAAAATGCTGTGCACAGTCTCGGCATCCGAAGAAACTCTGGATGCACCTCTCCATGGTCCGCAGGACTGCCTGAGGGCTGTCTTCCAAACCTGCAATGAAGAGCCGACATCGGCAACTATGTGGACACGGGCCTGCCTGATGCGCAAGTCATGCAACGGAAACCATTATCTAGTGCACATGTCAATAAATCATGGTCAATTATCTGATTTGCTCCACTTCTCCAATCCTCCTCCTTTAAACTTCACAATTTCAATAGTTTTATTTTTACCAAGTGCCTTTATAATGTACTCAAAATAAATTTTTAAACACTTTTGTTTGAGATAAGATTGAAGTGCCATGAAATGTACTCATATGCCAAACGAATAGAAACAGTAAGTTAAATTTCCTGGGTTTAACGTCACAGGCAGATAATTTTGTGCAAGCAACAAACACATTTCAGCATGAATTACATATAGTGAACCTGCTTCAGTGATCTATACTTTGGTAATCTCTGAACTGCACTCAATTTCTGAACTGGACTGCAATGTACTCTGAGAAGCTCCAGAAGACTATTCAAAAGCTATAATTAGCTTCCCATCCCTGCTTAACCATGAAATTTAACAGGTGATCATTCAACCCATGTTAGCGGGTGAGAATAAGAGAGAAAAACATAATCTGCACCATTCCTGTCTTTGTTTTTAAATTTGGACTACTAAATAGAAAGCATGTCTTGTTTAAATTTCAAAATAAAAAGAGTCCAATGGAACCTCAGATTTACCCATACTTAAATCGTCCCGCTGCCCTCCAGCTGTGTTGGACTACAACTCCCATAATCCCTGAGCCACCGTAAAAATCTTCTGCTCTGGCTGTCACGGTGGGTAAGGCCAAGTGTGGGGCCCCTTTCACTTTGGTGCTGGTCTCTCTTTCTGGAACCCCCGAGGATTCTCTCCATGCCCGTCAGAAAAACCCTACACATAGTCACAGACTGACCTACGTGTAGGGCACAGTAATAGCTTGCAGGAACCCCGTAAAATAGGCCAGTATCATCCCTGTATCAGAGGCAAAAAGTGGTTTGCCTCCATAAGTTAGTGGCGGAGAAGAGAACTGGACCTGCGGCTTCACAGCTCCTTCATCTGGAATCCTCCTATGCACTCTTACAGCCCAATGCTAAGCAGAGAGGCGATTCTAAATCGATCTACTTCAGTGGGCTTAGGTGAGCCGAACCCTAAAGAGGATCAGGCTCTTGTAAACCCTGCTGAACCTGAGAGGTTTACTTCTGAGTAAAGATGCCGAGGACTGGGCTGTTGGTTGCTACATCTGCTAGGGATAATCTCACGAGCCGTGCACAGCAAAGGCGAAAAGGCAGCACATCTCGCACATGCGTTCACTGACGTGATCTCAAAGTGGGCAAAAACAGATACACGAGAGGGTCATGCCAGCACCGTGGGGAACCACCTTTCATTTCACACACACACAAAATAAAAGTGGAATTGACAAACAGCATTTATCAATCACCTGCATGAATAAAACTCTATGCAAGATACAAAAGCGGGGGGACAGGGCTGTCCTCCTGGGAGAACACCTGCGGGAAATGGCGTGCTGCAGCGGGTGCTGAAACCCTAGAAGGATATTAAATATTAAAAGCCCCATTCTGAGCCATGACAGACCAAACCTCTATTCTTGTGTGTGCTCACCAAGATATTCTTTAATTTTAATATTTTTTGCAAAATTCGCGCAATCCATCTGGGAGACAAACAAACTGTGGAGGGCAAGGTGGGCAACCCTGGGAGGCTGAGGGGCCACTTTCACATGCACACACGGAAAACTCTTGATGATCAAAAGGTTCATTCTGTTTATCGCTCTTTTGTCAGCCCAGGGCTGCATCTTCTATAAACAGCTCTCTGTAATCCTCCCCCTTTCTCTTTCCTCTCAAAACTGCTGCAATTCAGGGTAACCCTAATCTTTAAAGTGGGCAAGAACCATAAACCCCACCTGTGGCTGGAAGGATTAGGGGGCTTTTCAGTTAGATGCGATTTAAAACCAGCAATAAGGAGAGGAAAACCTCCCAAGACATAATCCGGCAGCCTCAGGCTGACCCAATTCTTTGGCTGTAAGGAATGATCATCAAAAATGCGCCCTGGTTTAAACAGACAGCAAAGTGGGTTGAAGACGAAGAGGTGAGATTTGGGGGGGGGGGGGCAGAAGGAATCTGACGAAGCAGGCTTTAAACTTTCAGCCCTGTACTAAAATAGCACAATTGGGCTAAAACCAGTAACCCAACAGCAATATCAGAGACTGCCAAACGCGCGACAATTCGCGGGGCACTCTGCTGGTCTCGCTGCTGCAGCTCACAGGAGGCATCCTTCCCATGCAGCTCTGCACTCTAGGCAGGGGGCCAGTGCCATGCCTTCTCTGGCCACTTGCAGCAGCAAAGAACAGCAAATACCGCCACTCAGCACCTTCCAAGACACTGCAGCGAACTGCTCCTAACTCTGAGGACGCTGTCTAAAAAGAGGTGCAGTTGCTCATCCAAGCAAAAACAAGACAGCTGGGCAGCTGATGAAGATTCCAACCCCACCATCCCTTTGATTCTCAGAAGTGCGTGCCTCCTACCTGTGTTGAGCAAGGCCTTTGGCCGAAGCGCTGCTTGAACTGTTAGAGTGTGGAACAGCTTCCAGAAAGAGCACGTGTATCCTCTCAGCTCTGGCCTGCTGCCCTGGCAACCGACCCACTGGATGCGGTTGGTGAGAAACAGCCCTGAGATCTAGAAAAGGCCAAAGACCCACTAAAATCTCACAGTGGAACACACACGCAAGAATGCTGAGAAGGCTACAAGGGCAGAAACTACTTCTGCATTAACATTTGGAAAAGATCACAGTACACGGCCTTCCAAATTATGCAAGCTGAAACATTACAATCCTCAAAACAAATCTTTTTTCCAGCCCTCCAGAGCATCAGGCATGACTCCTCCTTTCTCCAATCAGGAGGATTAAAACCAAGAAAGCCATGGAAGAAAGCCCTTCACAACCGCAAGGGACTCTGCTAGGATGGCGTGGAGTCGAAGCCCTAGGCCCCCAAGTGAAATCTGGCCCACTCAGCAAGCTCAGACAGCCATGCCCCCTTCCCTCCCACTGCCTCAGTTTCCTGGCTTTTGTGCCATTTTCCCACCCCCACATCCTAAAAAAGGCTAAATTGCCACCAATAAGTGTTTTCAAGGGTGTGTGGGGGGGGGAGCTGTTATTCCGCCTCCATCCCTTTTGCCTTCAGGCTGCCCCCAAGAGCATCTCTGAAATGAGATTTGACCCCTGAACAGAAGGGCACTGGGACCCTGCTCCAGGGAATGCAGGCTGCAGGGACTGCCTTGCACACTGCTCCTTTGAGTGTGAAGCATCATGCAGAAGCATCTTGGATTACGGAACACCCCCCTCAGCTAAAGCGGCATTTTCATGCTGAGATTGAGTCGTGGCTTACCCGCATTTTGTTGTTGAGCAGATCAAGGATGGCATCATAGGGGATTTTGTCTAATGGGAGGCTCACCAGCCATACTTCCAGAGTTTCCAGCAACTTCATGACGGGCTGCTGGCCAGGAAAGAGCTGTGCAAAAGACAAGGTTATCCATGTCTTAAAGCTTTACTGTCACAACATCAGCTACCCAAAAAGTCTCTATCTGTTTGTCTTCCCTCAAGGACTCAGTCAGTTGTGGGGGAAAGACAACTAAAGATAACAGGATAGAAATCCATGAACCTGGAAAATGGCAAAAGAGCAATTATATGCACTTAAAATTTTGGCTCGCAGAAACAAAGCAAACAGTAAAAGCTGTGTTATGTGTGATATATGCTTCACGTATGGAATGAACTGAGAGCAGCACAATAGTTTAAAATTGACTGCAGCACAACAGTTGAAAATATTTATTTTTAGAAAAACAGGCCTTTCAATGGCTGTATTCACATATGATGCCAAACCCATTTTATGTTAAGCAAGTTTCTTGCTTTAGCCATGAATTATACTGTGACAGCAAACAAGCCCAGACTTGGTTGTCCAATTCAGTATCTTATGCTTTTACCATTTTGGCAGGTTTTGGAATTTTTTCATTTTTGGGCTGCACCTGCTAGTAACTTCTTTTTCAGAGCAGACAGCAGGGCAAACACATGCCAAAAATAAAGCACAGTTTGAGTTCAGACACAGTAGTAAACCATGGTTTAAGCAAGCCAAACTTTGGAAGCAACCAACACGCTACAGCTCCTAATTAAAGAAACCATGGTTTGTATGCAGAGATGGGTCCAGATGCAATGACAAGCCAGATTTCCACAAGCCACACCATGGCTTAGTGTTGTATGTGAACCAGGCCAACAGCTGCTTACACTGGTTTATAAAGCACGTGCAGGGATCGTTCCTCTCACTCAATTTTGCACTGTTTCCAAATTTCCCAAGACATCAAATTGGTTCCTGCAGAATTCAATGGACTTTTGAGCTGAACTGGCAAGTTACTTTTTTATAAAAGTCCCTTCACAACTCTTCCCCAGAATTACTTGCCCCAAAATGCCTTCTTAAAAATCATTTTTAAAAACACCAACCTACCATATGCAGTTAAAACAAGTACTCAAGCAATTTTTAAACAATTAAAGTTCATATTTGTACCATCTGCCATTTAGCTAGCTTTCCTTCAGAACTGCAGCTGTTAAATTTTGGGTAAGATTTGCTAGTGAATGTTGATTCTACTGTCTGTGGGTTCTGGCAATGACCTGGAAGCTTTGATCTGCCAGGGAAATGTGGTTCAGGCACTCAGAAAAACACACTTATGTTGAAAACCTGTCTTTCACAAAGGGAAGAATTACATAAAAATCAAGTAGGTGGCAGGTAGAAGGAGGCAGAATTATCAGAGCAGGAAACAAGCCATGGAAACCAAACTGCTGCTTGAAGAAGGAAGCAAAGGAAGATCTGGTTGCATTTGTCCAGAGAGAAAGGCCAGCAGCAGTGCCCCTGCTGTTCATGCAGAAGCCCAGGCCTGATCCAGGCAGGGCTGATGGAGAACCCAGCCGGACACCCACATGGCCACCGCTGCCAGTCAGTGCTGATCATACAGGCCTAGATGGGCCAAGGGTCCAGTACCGCAGAAGGCAGTCTGCCAAGTTCTGTGCCACGGCTGGACTTAAACTACCACTCAGGGATTTATGGGTCAGAACTTGCAGTCTGCCTTAACCACTCAACCCCATAGAGTAAGTTGCAGGCAGAAACCTGCAGGATTCCACACACAAAACTCAAAGAGTTGTCACAAAGGGAGCTCTTGGTGGTACCAGAAAGAAGCTGGAGTCTTAGGAAGTGCTGAGAAAGCGGCACTGCTGTAAGCTGCATTAACAGCCAAGAAAGTAATCCTATAACCATCCAAATCCCAGGTCTGAAAACTGAGCACAGTGTCCAGAGACTTAGCAACAAATGCTCTAAGTGCTTTTCTTTAGAAAATTAGTACAGTGTAAGACAACCAGTAATCTGGCATCAGCCAAGCTGTTTTCACACTAAAATATTTATGATCAACAAAACAGAACTAAAACCTCTTTTTGGGGGTGGGGGGGCAAAGCACATAGAGCACAGGATTGGGCTAGAATTCAGCCTCTCCATACTTTGTGGGAAGATAATGCCATGGATTCTTAATTTCGGAAAAGGCCTGCACGGCTTTTGTTTGGTTTTGACAAAGTGTGCTTTCCCACCACAGAAGCAGGAACCCTCAATCCTGCAGCCCAAATATGGCTTCTGAAGTCTTCCAGAGGGCCACATGGAGTGGGTACTGGTACCCACTCCTTTTCTTCCAATGGCAGACCTCCTGCCAACCCTTGGCTGGTTTGTATAACTTTTCCTCATTCTAACAGGACTCTCCTAACACTTATGCTACCAGCAGAAAGAGCTTTTGGTTAAACTTGGCTGGTATTTTAAATGTTTCTGACACCACCCTTTTGGCCTCATGACTCAGGACGAATTGAACTGAAATGGGTGGGGTCCTGCATGGCCCATTCATGCCAGCATCTGAAGCCTGCAAACACGCACAGCATCTCCCCCCACCCCGCCCCCGCCAAACAAACAAACCAACCTTTGCTCCTGCTCTTAACAAGGGTCCATCTACATTCAAGCCCTCAGTGCCTGCACAGAAGCGTTTTGGGAGAAGGCGGGGCTCCTTGCGAGGATGCAGCGCTTGATGCAACTGTCCCAGCAAAGGGGCTCATGTGGAGCGGCCATCCCTCAACACGACTTCAGAGGGGTAGGAGAAAGCAGAAGGTCTAGAATCAGGTGGAGTTTCTCCCCAGGAGAGAAGACGAGCACAGCCTTGGTAGAAACCGCTGCACATTTTTAAATCAGGGAAAGTGTATATTAAACCAAGGGTGAAGAATACACCCCCACCCCCGCTTTTTAAAAGAACTCAAAGCAACTTACATTATTCTCCTCATTTTAAAACATGTCCTCCCAGAACAACCCTAATAGTATTCTTTTTAAAAAAATCACTGCGTTCTGCATCAGCTTCAATGGCCATGTCCTCCACTCTGAAGAGCCACCAAAGAAGGACCTGGGACAAAGGCCTTCCATTCAAAGGCCACTGCTGCTTTAGCTGCCACTAACAGGATGCTTACCACCTGCCTCCACATCAGCTTCCTCAAGCGTGCCAACGACAAATGATTCAGCTGAACACCGAAGGAAAGGCTTTTGGGAAGGCCGTGTCCTGTAGCCTGTCCAGTGGGAAACAGTCCCCCACGCCTCTGGTGTTCTCACGAGGCCATGCTAACCTGCTCCAGCAAAGCAGCACCAGCAGAGCGGATGCTAATCTGACCCTGGCAACGTGCCGACAGGCCAGCCGCTATTAATCCTCCCCCAACCTCCACAGAAATGCATCAAGGTTTGCTTTATGAGAGATTTCCAGAGGCTGAAGAAAGGCCTCTGCTGCACTGGATTTACGGCACTCTTGTAAATGCAGTTGAAAGATCAAAAATGTTTACCTTGGCAAGGAGTATAACAACATCCTTGAAGGTCTTTAGCTCAGCTCCCTCAAGAGTTTTGTGAGTGGCAAGTTCTACCCTGAGCAAGTAATGCAACCCTGACTCAAGGTCAGCCATATACAGCTTAGATCTGAAAAAAGACATAGATAACTTTGAAAGTGGCACAATGGTTTTACCTACACAGGTCAGGAAGGCAAAATGACTGAACAGTTGATGATTTTAACATCTGAAAACAGTGATTCATCCTTAACATCGTCTATTTAACACTCTTATATACTACTATGAGCAGTGTACAACATTTTTAAAGCACAATTCAATGGAAAACCATATATTCAGAAAACACACACACTAGAAGACTAGCTTGAACTATGCCATTAAAAAGCGTCTCAGTATTACGTACTTATCAAAGTCTTTCCATTCCTTGACATCCATGTTTTCTTCTCTGTTTTGTCCGACAGGTGTTGGGAGCTGTGAAAGTAGCTTTCTTCTAACGCCATGGAGTGACTTTAAATAGGAAGAAAAGAAAGACCGAAGAGGCTTCAAACTGTGTATGGAAGGACAGTGTAAGGGTTAAAAAAAGCCTCAGGTTGAACATCTTGCCCCTGTGCTACTACCTGGACAACCATCACATCCACTCACGCCGAGGTTCAACACCACATTTATTCACTAAGTAGGTGCTCTCTAATACATCAAGCTGACGCTCCAGATTACTGTGCCTGTATAGCTTTCATCGTTCTTGCAACTGACATTGTTTTGCACAATGTATTTTAACCTGCAACTTTAGTACTGTTATGTGCAAATCACAGCGATATTATGCTTAGCTGTATATAGATATTAATGATAACTAATCAAGGCTCCATTTCCTTTAGGTCATCCTAAAGAAAAGGAGCTTGGCAAAGCAAGTCAAACTATGCAGCACAGAAAAATTACCCAACTATAATTAATGCTCTGCTTTATTTTTTGTCTCCAAAAAATAAAAAATAAAAAAATTCTAATTTACCAACTGCCTGAATCATCCCAGACAGCAGGGGTGTTGACTGCCTTTCAAACAGAGGATCAAATTCAATTTGGGGGGAATTCTCAAGCGCCATATTTGTGGGGTGGATACGGATGAAGGCAAAAGGGAAGGCGGCAAAGATATGAACCATTTCAACCATTTAGAACAGTCAGAACTGTGACCAAGCACTCCATGGCTAGGGAAAAGGGATGGGGCCATTTGGGGAACCGCAGAGGCCAGAGCTATCCGCTAGGCAGGCTAGATTTGGCCCCAGAGCCTGACATGCAACATCACTGCTACAGAGAATGATACATGAAATAGATTAAAGGAAGCCAATTACAACATAAACCAAGAGCGTCCATTTTAAAACGATTTTGCAGACCTCAAAGCAGGACGCAAGTGGGCATCCTGACCTCCCAGTGGGTAACATTCTACAGCATGAGAAAGCCAAATGTTTACCTAACAGGGAACTAAGACGATTATTTATGTGAACGCTTAACCGAGCCCCTGAAATGCAGTGCCTAGAAAAGCCATACTTACATGGGAATGAATCCATGGGATCCATTTGGATAAATCAGGTACGTTGAAGGGACTGAAGGGATATTAAGCTTCTCCAGGAAAACAGCATCAGCACCTGACACTCTTTTGACTACTATGTTCTCATACTGACTCAGGTCCAAGATCACCTGGGTGGAAAGAAAAACACACACACACAATTACTGAAAAGTATAAATAAAACTTCACATAAAAGTGAAGACCAGAATGTGTAAACATGCTGTCAACAACCTCATAGAGCCCTTACGCCCCGAGAGAAGATGTAACAGGCTCACTCAGAGGTGAAGAAGCAATGGTATAATATGCTGAGCTAAAACCTGTGCAAGCAAAGACACACAAAAACTGTTTTACCCAAGCTCCACTAGTGTTGAAATAATTTAGTTCATCTCTGGTTAGGATAAGCCATTATTTGCACAACAACGTCAAACCGTGACTCGCATCATGGCATCCTGCTAATCCTTAATCATTTCTCGGGCATTCAGAGATAACAGGAATGATTAAGGAAAACAAGCCCAGAGGAGCACTGTCTGTATCTAGGTAAGCCCACCTAGAAGGAAATGACATCACAGGTCTGGGGTCTCCCAAGCTCTTTGGTCAGTGGGCACATCTGGAATTTTTGAAAGAACACTGTAAGTGCACGCGCAAAATGGCTGCCACTGGAAGCACACTGACCACACACAATAGCAGCTGTGCCAGATGGGGCTGGCCGTGAAACAGTCATTCCCCAAAAGACAAACTGATGAGACCATGAAACAGGAGTCGAGTCTGAGCTCCAAGACACAGAAACATAGAAATAGAACAAGTCAGAAGGGACCCCCCAGGCCATCTAGTCTGACCCCGGGCTCCTGCCATCTCTGCTCACGACCTGCCCACCATGTGCATGTCTAGCCTATCCTTGAACATCCCCACCGATGGGGCCTCAACCGCCTCCCGTGGAAGCCCATTCCACACCCTCGGGGTCCCAACTGTCAGGAAGTGCTTCCTGGCATCCAAGTTGAACCTTGGTTCCCTGAGCTTTGCTCTGTTGGAGCGCATCCTGCCTTCCTCTGCAGGGGAGAACAGGTCTCGGCCCACCTCTGTGTGACACCCCCTCACATACCTGTATGTCACCAACAGATTCCCTCTGAGTCTCCTCTTCTCCAGGCTGAAGAGACCCAGTTCCCTCAGTCTCGCCTCATACGGCTTCCCCTGCAAACCGGCCAGCATCCTTGTGGCCCTTCGCTGCACTGACTCCAACCTGGCTATATCCTTCCTGTAACAAGGGGCCCAAAACTGTATGCAACCAAGGGTAGCATTTGGTCTGTTGACCAACGCTTTGCTGAACCCAAGTAAAGATGGCAAACACGCCAACCTCCAGTTTAAAAGGCCAAAGAATATATCTTAAGAACCAGAAAACATTCAGATGGAGCAGGGAGCCCAGTTGGGCCCCAGGAGAGATGTCAATGGACATGTTGGTTCCCTGGGCTTCACACTGGAGGCCCCTATGTAGGTTGCGGTGTGATTGCATCTGCAGTGATATATAGTAGCAGAGACCTGATGACATTGAAAGGATTTGGCAAACTTGAAAACCAACCAATTTAAGACTTTCCATGCACTGAAGAATCAACTTAGTGCAACCACTGCCAATAAGTCCTGTGATGTCCTGCTCAAATCCAGTTCCGCCCATAGTACAACTATTACCATTTGTCCATGTACACGACGGTGGGGGGGGTGTAATAGTTGTACACACCCCCACTGCTAAATGAGGGGTCTGTTAGATGAGAAGTCCATAGGATGACATAATCTATGCCAAAAGTGCAATCCTACACATGTTTGGACAGGAAAAAAGACACACAACTCCAGATTGTAGGGGTTTTTCTGTGTTGCATCCTAAAGCATGTTTATACTTCAGTAGCAGGATAAAGTTTCCAAAGACTTTATTACCTCTCGCCCAACATATGAGTCTGTCTTCTCAAAAATAACAGCAGTATAATGCAGAAGGTTTTTATCAAAAAGGGCAAATATGTCTTCTGGCCTATTTAAAAAATAAAAAAGACTAGCGTTATTTGATATACCATGCAGAAGTAGGCAGAAGGTAGGCTCAGATCTGCTAATACATCTGTGGATGAAAGGATTTCTGATGACAAACCGGGCCTTCCATTTTTTGGTTTATAGATGGTTAACCCAACAGAATACCCTGTGGAGGGTTTTAGGAGTAAGTACAAGCCAGAATTCAACAAACCACACCAAGAAGACACTGTTAAGTGCAAACCAAGCCACTGAGTACTGCAAACAATGCCTGCACTGGCAAGTGCGCAGAGGCAACTCCTGCCTTTGAATATGTCTGTGCCTTTGAATCTCTCCTTGTCATCTGACTTTAGTTGGTTGACCTCCTTTGTTTGTATAACAAAAGAAAGAACAGAACACCAACAAAAAGTCAGCCCTGAAGGCCTGAGGTCTGCCCTCTTCTGATAAGGGGAGTGCAACCCTTCCAGGATCTCCTCAGGTGCCCCATTCGCCCTCCCTCACGCCTGTGGCGGGCACTCACTGCATCGGTTCCAGCGGCGGACAAGCAGGCGGCTTTGCTTCTCGGGAATGGTTCTGCAGAAAATCAATCATCGTCTGACGGACAGTCTGAGGTTCCCGATCAGCGCCTTCAAAGGAAGCAACCGGAATGCGGCTTAGTGGGCGTTCCTGAGGTCCCCTTCACAACTTCCCAGGCTCCTTGCTTACAGGGACAATAACCCACCCAAAGGCTTCCTTGGACCCCTGGGGGGACTGCAGTGCACGGCGGAAGCTCATCTCTCAGGGCTGCTTGAAGCAGGCTCCTCCGAGGGGAGGATCTGCAGAGAGCAGTGGCAGTGCACCCAGGGAGGGCCTGGCAGAGCCAGCATGCTGCATCTTGTTTCAGGGATCTCTTCATCATAAGCTCCTTTTCAAAATTAGATATGCAACACTTTAGAGCCTTAACTTCCAAGTGTGTTCCAAATGTTGCGTAACATTCTCTGTAAACCACCTCAACTTTACTTAATCTCAAGTGTTGTTCAAAGGAAGAAATGCACATTTCATCTTACCAAGGCGACTTTCTCCAGTCGTGAACTGCCTTGTAAAAGCTCTGAAGTACTGTGGGGTAAAAGGGAGGGAGGAAGAGGAAAGGTCTTGCTTAGAATAGCCAACACGAAGCCAAAGAACGCTAGGGGAGCTCAGCTTGAACAATCATCAGCTGAAGAAACAAAACATGAAACCTTCTGATCCAAGTAATTAACTTACAGGAGGGACCACTATCCATTAGTGGGCACTTCTGCAAAGTAACTCCTATTCATAAAGCATGTAATAATACGTTGTGGCTGGGCCAGCCTATCAATTCCCCAAAAGACAAACTGGTGAGATTCAAAGAAAAGAAGATGGTTCAAGAACCTGAGTAAAAGACTGAGCTAGATTCTGAGCTGCATACCACAAAGCCACTTGATTTGCATATAAAGGCAGAGTTCCTGTCCTTTTTCTGCACAACAATCCTCTGAGACAATCCGCCCAGAGTGGCCTCACCCATGAGCCTAAGGCAGAGCAGAGACTGGAACAGAATCTCTCAGGTCCTAGCCCAATACTCTAATCTCTGCTATACCACACTGGTTCTCTACCAAAGCCATGCATTTTCCCCCTGAAATGGGGGGGGGGAGGTGTTTAACTGGCTCAACTATTGCGGGGGAGGGGGGAGATTAAATTGTGCTTAACTTTGAGGTACAGGAGTTAAATTCTATTGCGATCATTCAGAACAAGTTTTTGAAAGTAATTGCGTAGCTATCATAAGGTATTCCTGTCAAAATCGTGAGGATAGAAACTGGTCTTAACACCATCACAGTCAGAGGACATGGATCAGAAATTATGTACTATGACATATTACACAAGATTTAAACATTTTCTTGATATTTAACCCCTTATTGCAAAAGTATGCCACAATTATGTTTCTGCTAACAGTTAGAGCAAGATGGTTGAGCCAAGAAACAGCAGGTCTTGCTTGAAATTATGATATACCAAAGGATAGTTTTTTTCTAGACACCTTTATAAGTGTAATGGGTTTAAGGGGGCCATGCACTAACTTGAAATTTCAAACCATGCTAGCAGATTTTTTGGGATGAAGAATATGCAAAAACACTGATAGTACATCAGCAACTAGAGTTAAATGGAAAACATTATTCATTATATGCTATATGACCTTCCACACAGTGTCCCCAAGAGGGCATTTTGTCTGCCTGTCAATCTTCACTGGAGATTGGGAGGGGAGGGAAAGGTTGAATGGCCATTAAAAGATTTGTTTTGCTGGTCCACATGGATAAGTATATTTTCAAAAGGGCACTATGCTGCCACAGCTGCAGAAAAAAAATCTTGTGCAAATATCTGAAGTCCATTTTACAGTGGACAGCCAGTAGCTGTGACATGATCTGTTAAAATGCTCATGATCTTTGCTCCAATTTCCTTTTGTTTCTTAAAAAATTTAAATGGCAAGTACTAGAATAAACAGAGAAACTGATTAACGCTGAATGCTGCCCTTAGGGTTCAACAGTTCTTACTGGCAGAAAGGAAAGCCTAGAACATCCTGGCAATATCCCATCCAGTTGGGAAAAATAAAGGAAAGAAGGAAAGGAAAATGTTAGCAAAAAAAAGGCAGAGAGCAATTCCAGCTGGCATGTAGATCAAAAGGTCACCATAGTCTATCCAATAAGATTTAAGAGAGGAGAAAGCTGCACAGATTCAGGCTGTGTTTAATCACAGAGAGCTACACAAATCTGTCTCCTGGTGCACCCAGACATGCTTACCCTGAAAGTGGGATAGTACGGGATGCCATACTCTTTACATGTCCCGTAGTTCTCCTCATCCCCACAGTCCAGCACCCCAACTCTTATGGCAGGGTCCCACTCTGAAAGAAAACAGAATCTCAGATAAAATAAATGGAGGGCAGCTGAGATAAAGCAGTTTATAAGTTTTGGCTCTGAGGTGTATCAGTTCCCTGCTCCATCCATTTCCAAACATACCTTTGCTAGCTTAGATTCCATCAAAAATTTAAGGTAAAGTTATCAGTCTTCATGAAAGTGCGCAGACTCCAGATTACTCTCCCAGCTAGAAGTCTAGCAAAATCAAACTGTGCCAAGTGAGGTGGAGCTGGCTCCCAGCCTAGGATGCAACCATGAACTGAGGTTCCAGCAACAACTGTTCCGTGGGAACCCTCAGAAATGACCTGCGTTCAGTTGATAGCCTACTAGGTTGTTCAGCAAGATGACAAGAAAGAGCTAGAGCAAGGGACACATTCTGTTTTGGAGAAGCTCTTGGAGCTGTATGCCAATGATGTGGGTGGGGGGGCAAACTTTAAAAATACAGGCATCTTTTAGCGTAATCTCTTACTGCCAGTAACTCAGCCTTACGAGAGGCATTTCAAGCTTTTAGAAGAGGGGGAAACTGAACAAAAGCTGAAAGTCCCCGTTCCCCCCTCAAAAGGTGGGTGGGAGAGGGGGCAGGGCCAAGAGTGTTACATGATGTTCATATGTTTTAAAACCACTGCTGATCTTAAAGCAAGCCAAGCACCAGCAAGCATGCTGTTCACAGACTCCTAACAGCTTAAGAAGGCCAGTGAGAGCACATGTAACTGGAAGAGTTATGCACATGGCTGCGACCCCCTGTTAGTACACAACATTGTTCCCCTGTACCAGCAATTGTCAATTGCCAGCTTGTCCACTGGGTGCAAACGGCCCATATGGACTCCTACCCTGCCTATGTCCATCTATAACACCAACAGAATGCTAGACTGGCCACAGGGATGGACATGGCCAACACCCAGGAAAGCCTACAGATATCTGGCAGCCCTAACAGCTCACCTGCACACCTCTAAAAGACAAGCAGTATTTTTAAAATTATGTATGCCGCTTTGATGTTTTAGAGTTATAAAAACTCAACTGCACTTCTTGGAAGCTCTGAAAAAGAGGGCAGCAAAGAACCCTGAGATACCAGCTGGAAGACCAAGGGAAAGGAGGGGGAGAACAATTCACTGTAAGCCCAACTGCCTGTCAAGCATACCAAGGGCTATTCCACAATCTACCCCATCCATTGTTGCTTATTCAAGAGGGGGCTTATTGTGTCATGCAAACCCACCCAGAGGGACTCAAAGCAGCAAGTGTAGAAACCAACGTTAACACTGCCGATGTCCAGATCTCTGACCTCAGTGTCATCTCCAGGGTCAGAGATGTTTCCATTTATTTGCAGCTGCAGGCCTCCATGCCACCCTACAAAACCCACAAAAATCTTGCTTGGTGGCATCCGGGGGCAGCCCCGCTGTTTGGGAGACCCAAGTTCAAAGCCCCACCTGCCCCTTGGCATGCAAATGTAGCTGTGTGGGTACCATGGATTTCCAAGGAGGTTTCCTCTTCTAGAAATCCAGGGAATAAAATACACAGTAGGAAGCACAACAACTTCTGCTTTGATAGGAAGAGTGGACATTTAGAGGCATCATCAAGCCCCAAAAATGCCTAGACATTTCCTACAAAACTGTAAAAACGCCTCTTTTCCTGTCTTAAGTTTCCTCTGAAAGATGCAGCATTTACCAGCCTGCTGAAAAACTGCTATTGTATCTAATATACAGACAGCTGAACAGGCACCAGAATAACTATAAGCATCTCTAAGCAGATGGGTGAGCATTCAGGCCGGCACACAATGGGCAGCAAGCTACTTCTGTCACCAAAAAAGGCAAGCTCAAAAAGTTTGGCTTCGGGTTATCTGCCTCATTCATGATTCAGCACCGCAGCTTTTCCCTTTCCCACCTGTTTCAGACTCAGGACAATGAACAGGAACAGTATAAAGCCAATGCAAATCTATCTCCTTCACAGCAATGCCTACTCCCAGACAAATACTTGGTTAAGTGCACCAGCTGCCAGGCGAGTTAGAATTAACAAAGGGAGCTTCTGAGAAAAAAAGAAGGCGGGGGGGGGGGGGGAGAAAGGAAGGCAGCCATGCTTTAATCCATCCCTGTCCTCAGTTCATTCACAGCCTCTCTTCACTCTATGACGCAGGCCAGAGGTTTCGATGCAACAGTAGTATGTACTTTATGGCGACTTACTACTAAGATACAAATAAAATCACACATTAAAGACTTCATTGGAAATGTCTGGGCACAGATTTGCAAGCGCTGCACCACGATGTATGTGAGTGCTGAGTGCCAGGAGGCTCCCTCAGGCCCAAACTTCCCAGACAATGATTATTTATTTATGCAGCGCTTATTTATGTGAATGCAAGACTGCAGGAAGAATAGGTGTGGTATGTCCCTAGCCCAAGGTCCTTGGGCAAAGGGAAGCAACAGAAGGCAAAAATGCACGTGGCCGCAAGTTTTTCCAGCACTGCCTACACACTACAGCTCTTTGTGAGACAGGTTAGGTCGGTCTCGTTCCCTCGTTGCGCTGCAGCTCTCTCAACTCCAGCGCGCTCCCAGAACATGGCCACAGGACCCTCTAGCCAAAAATACTGGCGCAGCTAAACAGAATAAGGATCTCTGCCGTGCTCCAGAACCTGTTTATAGGTCTCTGAGTAAATGTTTAGCCAAGTGTAAGTTACAAAAAGAACCTTCAGTTGTAGCACACTGAAAGCTTCTTTACCCAAAGTGAGTGGAATAAGCAAAGAAGAGGATGCACAGCGTTCGGCTCACTCTCTGGTATCCGCACCTAGGATCGGCAGTCCAACTGCGTGCCTTCACGCAGACCGCAGCACAGATGCACCTGCCTGGCTGCAGACCCCTTCATGGGGCAGGGTTGGAAAAGCTGTTTGCGTTTCATTCCTACTGCGCTATTTAACACTTCTTAAGCAATAGCTATAATGGAACCTTGAGTTAGCAGGGAAGGGTGTTTTTTTCTTCCCAATCTGATAATCAGCACACTGTTTCCCTCCCCTGCCACAACTTGCTTTTATTATTAGTTTTCTGTCTTTAGTTCATTTGTTACAGTTTTACACACCCATGCCCCTATAGCAATGTGTACTTACTGATATAAAAACAAATTTTGCCAAACATTGCAAAGAAAAGCAAAGAAGGAACTTTCTAGCCTCCCGAAAACAAATCTCTCCCAACAAGGATTCCCAGGCAGGTAACCCTGCCTTCAGTATACAGTAATAACATGCAGCACTCTTTCCCAACCTGGTGGCCTCCATATGGATGCACTACAACTCACAACATTCCTGACTGCTGCCAATGTTACCTGGGGGTGCTGGGAGATGTAGCCTAGCCCATATCGAGGGGACCAGTCTGCAGAAAGGTGCTGCACAGCATTTGCTTATACCCTTATGTTAACTTTTTTGCCGATCACTTACATCACAGCCGTCCACACACCAATTTTTTGTCTACAAGTCTCAGTTATCCCCCCAGGTCAGTTAGATGCCCTCCAGATGGGGTGGGACCAGCTGATACTGTCCAGTTGTGCCAGACTAAAACTCGCAGCATGCACCAGGAAGCTCTGCACCCTTCCAGATGTTAAGTTTTCTGCTCCTGATACACATACAGATCAATAGGTATAACTGTCATTGGTAAAAGCATGCAATCACTGACATATAGCTATGCATCCTTGAAATGTTGCTGAACTTAACCAGGCACCATTCCAGAGAGGGCCAGTTGATTCGTGACAGAGAACAGCAGTGCAAACAAATGGCAATTCACAGCAATCCACCCCCTCCTCCCCAGCAACTTCTTTCTGCTTTGGTATGCACTCAGGAAAGATCACACCAGTGCACCTTTTGACTTCTGTAACCTACTGGGAAGTCTTAACTGTGTTACATGTAGCCCTTTAAGGATCCATGTATAAAAGGGCCAGTGGAGGACTGCTCAGGTGCACCATCTGGAAGGATTCACTGGCAGCTGGTTATTCTCGGGAATAAATGCTTTAAAAGAAAACCTTCCCCTGTTGTGTATTTTGGGCATACGCACACCAGGACACAGATCATTTGGTCAACGCTCCCGTCATCCAGCAATGTGTTCCTCAGATGGGTTAAACTACAATTCCCAGTATCCCCCAAGCAACAACACTCTCCAGATGTTCCCGATTACCACTTTCCAAATACCCAGGCACTCTGCACCCTCCAGATGTGCCAGACTAAAGCTCCCAGCATACACCAGACAACTCTGCACTTTCCAGGTATGTTGGAACCTTCACACAATCAGCTAGTCACCCTCCAGGTGCGCAGGCCCCACCTGACACCTTCCCCAGAGAGATCAAAATACACCTCCCAGCATCCTCAGCCCGTAATGCGCCCTCCAGTTGTTCTAGCCTGCTCCTTCCAGCTACGATTCTATGCCAGCCAGGGGATGCTGGGAGTTGGAGACTGACACATTTGCAAAGGTGCCGGGAGGGGTGGAGACAGGGATATGGGGAGGGGGAATGCAGTCCCGGGATAGGGCGGGGAGTCCTGCTCACCGTGCACGTCCCCCGCCAAGGCCCGCCAGGTGGGCGCGAAGGACACGCAGTGCCCGCACGACGACGAATAGAACTGCACGAGCCAGGCCGAGGGCGAGTCGCGCAGCACCTGCCGCACCATTCCGGCCCGCAGCACCCACACGGGGTCCACCCCGGCCTGGTAGAGCCGCGATCTGCCCGGCGACGCACACGACAGCAACAGCAGCAGCAGCAGCAGCAGCAGCAGCAGAGGAGGCGGCAGCAGCGTCCGCCAGCCCCGCCGCGGCGCGGGGAAGCCACCCTCCGCGCGGCCCCCATCAGCCGCCGCCATCGCGGCCTCGGAGTGAGGCTCCCAGGCCCGCCTTAGCAACGGAGCGCCTGCCCTCGCGACAGGACCGGCATGCAACAGGCGCGAGGGGAGGGCACCGCCCGTCGGCCGAGCGGCGCGCCACGTTCACCCAACCGATAGGACGGACGCGACTGAAGCGGCGAGGCTCCGCGTGATAGGCCCCGCCCCCTCGCCGGCTCCGCCTCTCTTGGGGCGGCCATTAAAGGGCAAGCCTGCTCCACGCGCCTCCCTCGAAGCCTCCGAGCTGCTCCTGAGGCGGCGGAAGGCCTACAATTCCCAGCGTGCCTTTAGCCTAAACAGGTTGCCTATGGCTCCTTTATTGTTCTTTTCCAGGAGCTATCCCCGATGCTGAGCTCCACCCCAGGCCGCGGAGCACCATGCACAGCTGCTAGAAAGCTCAGAATAAAAGCTGCGAGGGATAAAGAGCTCCACTGACGCCAGAGGCAGCAGCCACCCCTGCAGCCCTATTTAGAATTCGCCAGAAAAGGTCCCACGACTCCCAGTGCACCCCAAACACGTGCAGGATTGCACCATAGTGGACTGAAGTGCACATTGTTAAATCAATCGCAATGTGTTTAAGCAACAGGCCATCAAATCACAGGCTTGCAATCAAGCCTTAGGGCTAATTCTGTGCTTTGCTTTGGTGTATGATGGTGTCATCCTATGCCTGTATAGCTATCTTTAATACAGCCTGGCTCTTGAACCCCTGCCAGGAGAATAGAACAAGAAGCCCCAAAGCACAGACCCTAATGTTCTCTCATATAAAGTACTCTGTAAATAATTCAGATAAGTAGATGCACCTCCTGCATCCTTAAGGCAGTCTTAATTGCATAGAACTAAGAAAGACAAATTTGAATTTTCCAAAGGGCGAAGGAGGCATGTTTGCATGTTGCTGTGTGTCTTCTGGCATAGAATGTTGGGAAAGGAGTTGGACAGCTATGAAATTGAAGGTGCAATCATGTTCATGTTTGGACAGAAAAGTCCTGCAGCTCCCAGCACTCTGCAGCTGACTGGGCCAAGCTAGGAGCTATAGGCCTTTTTTTCTGTCCAAACATGAACAGGATTGCACCCTAAGTGGCAGGAGATTTTTCGACATGTGCACACCACGCTTTCTTCCATCCCCACTTAAAGCAGTTCACTGCTTTTGAGCATTTCCCATTCAGTCCTCAGTCCAGGGAAGTGCTTTCCTTCCCTGAACAGAATTTCAATGAGCCCAAAGCATCTCAGAATCAAGGAACCCTGCAAGGGGTGGAAACGGGACGATGTTTATATATTTCTGAGCCATTGTTTTGCATTGCTGTTCAGAAGAGTTGCTACATGTGTGACTCTGAAAAAGATGGATTACGGGAAAATTAAATGCAGAGTTTAACGGAGAAATAATCATTTTCTATGAAAGCTAATGACTTCTCTGGAGGGTACTACGAAGATTTATTGACCCAAGAGGTTAATATTGATCAAAGCCACAGCAAAGAAAATATTAGACCTTGAAGTAAGAATAATCTTGATATTGAAGGCTTGCTGCTAACGGAAGAGGACGATATATCTGGCTGTCAGCCCTGAAAGTGCCAGGCACATAACGGCCAGGGTTTAATATGTCAACCATGTTCCATGCAGCCATTTTTACTCCTTCTCCAGTGCAGTTCAACTTCCAGATTAATCTGCTCTGAAGGACCCCTCACCTTTCACACCACTCGGGACTTACACTGGTTCCTCTTACAATTTTGTTTTAAAGGACTCTGCTCCCCACAAATTCCGGCCTGAATTTTTATGATGTCATTACGAGGAGGAGGAGGAGCCACCGCCGCCGCAGCTTTAGATACTCCGAATAGAAATGTCCTGACTTTCTGGCATGCCCATTTCTGTCCCCACACTCCTTGCAGAGCACAGTCCTCTGTTTACAGGACTGCTATAGGATTGCCTCTTTTTTGTCCTCTATTTTGCAAGTGGGAAGCAAGCAGGGCAGGAGGGCAACAGAACCCTTCTGCTGAGCAAGCTTCCCACTGCGGCAGCTGGTAGGGCCCTTCAATGGACATTAGCCCCTCTATGCTTCTCCTTTAAGTTTACTTACTGAGACACGTGGCCCCTTCAGTGGAAACTGTTCTGTTCACCCCTTGTTCAATAATCTCACGGCATGTTGGACGGTTATTATTGCATGGTCTCCTTGTGAGGATCCCAAGGTGGCTTTCATAGTCCTCCTCCACTCCATTTTATCCTCACAACAGCCACCTTGTGAGTCAGGTTAGGAGAGGGAGTGGCCCAAAGCCATCCAGTGAGTGGGAGGCAGAACCCAGATCCCCCAGCCCCCAGTTCACGCTACACACCGGCTCTCCCGAAGATGGCTTGCCAAGATTTGCAGAAGTAAAGGAAATTAAGCACAGCCAGAGACTCAAATGATTTGGTACATCAGGTCCAAAGAACTGCCACATTCTGCTCCTTATCACCTTGAGACAAATTTGCTGTTTGTTGAAATATTAAAAAAAAAAATCTGGAAGCCTAGGAGGAGAGGTGGGAATATGCAAATATTTCTTTTAAATCAAGGCAAATGTTTTACACGCACCCATTCTGCAAAACTCAACTAATCCCAGTTCATGCACAAGAAATATACCTTAGTATACCTATGTAGGCTTAGATAGAAGCAATTTTGATAACTCCCAGCATTCCCCAGTAGTTGAAGGCCTTTTTGTTGTCTAAACATGCATAGGACTGTGGCATTAATTCTTCTCATACCCCGCTGTCTGCCTAGTCCTTTTTCTACCTCATCTCTAGCTGATGTCATTTCCTTGCATCCCGTGCCTCTGGGCATTTTAACTATCGGTTTCTTGCAGAAATTATAAGAGTTGGGCTGGGGGCTCACATGTCTCCCTCCAGCTGGATGATGCTGGTATCTGCTTCCTGGGCCTTAGGTCACTGGGCACTGCAGGGGGTTGGATGGCAGGGCTCTGCTAGTCATCAGGCCTTTCACAGGGGTCTGCGCTGGTCAGCATTCACAGGAAGCCAGCCGGGAAGAGAACCATGGAAAGCTCTGCATGAGGCTGAGGCCGGACGCCAAAGAGGACTGTCTGCATGTTGCTCCAGCAAAGCACAGATCAAACAAGACGGAGCCTTAAGTATGAGTTTGGCTTCTTTTAGGCTTTTTGGCTTCTGCCTCCGCACTGATCTGAGGTATTGCCATGGTTCTTTTAGCAGCCTCAAGCTGTAATGATGTGGGAGTGGCTTTCCCCCAGTACATGCTGCATGACCCCCCCCCCTTCCTGTTCAATGACTTTCATTGCCCCAGAGGCAACTTGGACGCTGCAGAAACACCAGCTAGTCCTGGAGGTGGTGATGGCCCTTGGATCCAGGAAGATCCAGTAAAGAGGGCAAGCCACCTACTTCTGTGGATGCAACTCCGTCTGTTGAATCAAGAGCCTTTTCTGTCTCAGGGAACATAAGCAGTTCAGGTGGCGATGGAAAATCTTGCAGACTGAAGCTGGAGTCCTCACTCTTTGTACCCAGGTCTTCAGGTGGGGGAGGAAGATCTTCACATTGGAAAGATGCATCATTTTCAGTAGAGGACGACAAATCCATGCTTCCGTAAGAGAGCACTTCATCCACAGGAGATGATATATCATCCTCCATTTCTGGAAGATGTGCTTTACTGAGGAATACTGCATGATCTTTGCATCCCAGAAGGCAGCTTTTGGCTTGAAGTAATTTCCCAGTGTGGGACAAGTTTGAAGGAAGCCCTGACACTCCAGAGTCCTGGTTGTTCTGCCTATTTGTTACGGAATTGTTTTGGCTTTTTTGAGCTGTCCCTGCTGTGGCTTTTGGGCAAAGCACACTGGTGCCAGCCTCTTCACGACCTGCAGGTGCTTTGGAGACCTGGGCAGCAGCTTCGTCTGGTCTTCTGGATTCATGTCCATCAGCTGAGCGTTCCGCAGAACAAGTTCCATTAGCAGAAAATAAACCATTCCCAGACAGACTCAGTGACTCCAAGGGAAATGGCGGCACACTCCCCATCAGGCTGAATGGAGAACCTTGGAAGGGATCATCAGTGGGATTTGCATTCCTCAAGGAAATGTCGGATGGCATCTTCTTGGCCTTGCATTTACTTTCAGAGTCAAATGCACTCCCGCAGTCTCCGTCTGCTTCCACTATGCGGATGGCGGGAGCAGTGTCCCAGCATCTCTGGTCCTCAGAGGGACGAGGGGCTGCTACCGTGTTGAAGGACAGAGCAGCCCCTGACCCAGGTGCTCCTTGAGAAGCCATCTTGTTTCCACCTTTGCTCTTCAAAGAGGTTGCATTCCTTCCGGCCATAAATGCCTGGTCCTGAAAGGACAGGGACTCTTCAGTCCGAGGTGAGTTGGGTCTTGGCTCTCCACTGCTGACTCGCATTCCAGAATCCGATCCATAGATCCCACCACCATGTGGCATGTCTCCCAGGATCAGCTCCTGGCTGCCCATGGAAGACAAGTTCTCGGGACTTGATGCTCGGGTGGGGCATCTCCGGCCAGAGGACGACAGGGTGCTCTCCATGCAGGCTGCCATCTCTGACCCTGCTGATGCGTCGCAAAACACAGCCGTGCCAGAGCTATCCTGCAGCTCTCGGTGGAAGATGAATTCCTCCGGAAGACTAACATCTGTGCCTTCAGCATCATCAGCTTCTAGATCTGAGGCTGAAAGAGAGCTTCCAGAGATATTGATGAGAACTGCATGGGCCTTCTGAAATTCAGGGCTGAAATGGGCATTCTCTGCATCTGGAGAGAAGCCACATAGTTTGCTGAAGGGTCCTGCCGGAGATAAAGACTCTGGTCCCTTGTCCAAGGAATTACTCAGAGAATCATCTTTGGAAGGATGTCTCAGACCATTCTCTTGACAATGCTTTTCTTCTTCCTCACTCACCAGATTATCTAGAAAGCAAGAGAAACTGGTTAAGTTTCATGTTCAGTTCTTACAGCCCTTTTAGAGCTGCCAGCATGTTACTCGTCATCACACCAGCTGCA